GGTCTAGAATAATTTGCCTGAACCCCGGGGGTTCATAAATTTCACCCTGAACCAGGGGTCCAGAATAAGGACGCTCATAAAATTATTAATGTGCATCAAAAATATTTTATTATCACGTGATAAAATCGAATGGAGCCAAATCGGCCCATATGTAAAAAAAGTTATTAAAAGATTTACATTAATTTTTATAAATTGCGGGCAAATTTGCCCGCAAAACAGTTTAAGGGATAATATTAGATTGACCAATTAACGACCAATAAAAACACATGATAATTCCAATGTATCTTCCAATGGGTGAACCCATTATTGGGAATTGGAATTTATTGGAAGTCCAATCTTCCAATCAACATCACTGCAGCCTGTGTATCCAAAACATGTCTGATCCACTCTCAATTCTAAAAGGAGAAATAAAGCGCCTCGGGTTCGTTTCAGGCGAAAAAATAAGTTTATTTGGTTACTTCACCGGAAATGAAAAGAATCAAGCTGACGCGTTATCTCTCCTTGATGACTGTGATAATGATGAAGAAAAACGTAACTATTTGAGGTCTCTAATCTCTCCTCCTGGTATGTTCTCTCAGATTTTATCAAAGCATGGATAATGTGACTTAGTTTCTCGTCTTCGCTGTCATATTTACTAATAATTTCGAATACTTACTTATCTTGTGCTTTTCTTTCCTGCTTCTATCGTCAAAAACTACCCAAAAAACACATTTACGTTATCGTAGAGCAACCCGTTGCTGGTAAGTGAATCGTAATAAATTAGTCAACGCGAGTGAACGCGATACCTTTTTGATAGCTGTTATGTTTGCGTTGTGATATATTTATCAAATATTGATTTATACTTCTTTCCTTCCTACTACGCTTTGTAGAGCGTCCTATAAAGAAACTTCGAATAGAGCAGGGCTGGAAGTCATACACCGCCTCTGATGGTCATTCCGTAGAATTGCCACCCCAAATAATTGACATGCTTGAAAGTGAGAAATTCGTACCTGATAACCGCATCGATTTCCAAAATGCCTTCCAGAACCTTAGTGCTTGCCAATCAATTACCCTACCACATCTTGGCCAGGAACCTAAACACTTCGCTGAAGGTTATCAAGGAAGGACATTGCTTGTTACTGGGCAGATGATTGACATATGGGACAAGCTTTCAGCAGATAGTGACCATTCAATCAAGCGTGTTCTTTCAGGCCCAATGGGCGTGGGCAAATCATATATTTCCTACTTCCTTGCATCTAAAGCTTATGCTGAAGAATGGCCGGTGCTCTACATCGCAGATGCATCTGATCTTAATGTAGAATCATCAGAGAAAGCAGGAGCGGTGATATGCAGATACTTCCTGGCACTTAATAAAGATATTTTGACTGCCGCCGAGCTTAAGAAGATTGTGCAATTTGCTAGTAATCGTAATCCTCAACAGCTTGTGGTTACCGTCGCTGAAGAAATTTTAGACTTAATCAAATTAGCAGATCGCAAAGCTCTATTAATTATTGACGAACATGGTATATTATTTGAAAAAGATCCAGTACCTTTAAGAATTCACTTGTTAAGTCCTCTGATGAACCTTAATTTTTGGGGAGAACATTGCAAATTTGCACGTGTAATCTTTACGGGGACTGCACATGCTAGATATGAGAGGGAATACATGAAAAATGGTCAATATGAGTTTTGGGTGATCTATGTTGGTCCGCTACAGAGCAATGTATTTGATATTTTGTTACAGTTGCACCCCGTTCTGAGGATACAAGGCATCAAAGAAGAAGCAAAAAAGGTTACGAATTGTGTGCCACGTGAACTCATATACCTAGTTGAATATATCAAAAAACTCAATATCACTATTACCAATGTAAACTGCTTTCAACAAGTATTAAAAAAATTTGAGATTGAACGGGTCGACAAGATTCTGGCTATTGCTCAAAAATATTATAATGATATCCCGAAAACTGAAAAAACTCGCTACTATGATGCTCTCACAAGCATGTTTCTTCCCAGTAAACCCGTTGTGCAGTTTGAATGGAAGTTCTTAGATCTTGGGTTAATTTATCGGTACAAGGAAGGGATTACTCATTACCTCCCTCTATGCCCATCTGCTCAGAAAGCCTTATTAAAAATGTACATGTCATTTGACCTACCTGAAAATATAAAAAATCAACTCCGTGTAGGAAGTCTAACTGGAGAGCAATTTGAGGAAGCCTTATTCAATCGACTTGTATGCAAATGTAACACAATAATACAGCTCAATACAACAGATCTCAATAATAATAATAGAAATGTTATTACACTTCAGTTTAATGACTATGATTTGATTAAAAGTTCCCAATTATCCCTTGGACCTGGTAACGATAAAGTCTTAGGTCGTGGCTTTGATAGATACCCCCGATTTGATTACATGCTCGGACCTATATTTATACAGGTATCTATCAGTGATTTTACTTCACACAACAGCAAATCATCAACAAACATCAGGCAAGCATTTGAACCAATGTCTGCACAAGCTGGTATCTCTTTAGTGCAAATTAATGGAAGAAATCAGATCGAGATGTATTTGGATGAGATGTATGGTCCTGGTCATTCTGCTAAAATAGATTCACAAAATAAGTTTGTTGTTACCAGAAATGGCAAGCGCGTGCCTGGATTTCGTATCGTCTATATTCGAGGTAGTCCCGGCACTCCCAATCACTCTGGAAAAGTTCGTGAATTTCCCGACGTAGCGCATGTTACATTTGAGGAGATCAGAAGTCAGCTTTTCCCAAATATAGTATAATATTTATTATAATATTTTATGTAGCTAAGAGATAGACGAAATTTGAAATTTCTATTCTTTGATGTATTAGTTTGTCAATGCTGTACGAATATTAATAAATGGCACTCACATCATGTTTATCTTCTTTAACATGTAAATGTTGTATGTGTGTGGAGCGTGATATGTATTAAATCTTTGTTATCTATTACATAGCGATATAAAAATTAAAAGAGTATGTTCTTACCGAATATCTGATCCATTGATACGTGAGGGGTTGGCTTTTACCTCACCTGAAAAATGCACAGTACGATATCGGAAAAATTCTTGCCGAAAGAATAGGGATCGCATATATATTCACATTGTTTTTTTCTAAGAGTAGATTTCCCTCAAAATAATTTTTTCCGAGAAAGAGAGCTTTCCATTATTTCTTTGTCTTAATTCTGAAAAAATTGCTAAAATGGTTAGATTATCTCCCGCAGTACCAAAGTACAAGGGAGGGTATGGATATTTTTTTCATACTCTCATCCCTCAAATTATGAACTATGATACAAACGATATTTATACCTATATATCCCACTACAATCAATATACATGTATATCTCTCCCATTTTCATCGTATATATCCCCACAAAATATGATGAATATACCTAACTCAAATAAACTATCTAAGAATCCAATCTGCACAAAAAATGAATCCGATATATTCATACATATAGTTGATAAAATCCAATAGGTCTAGCCACGAAGTGACTACTTTTAGCAAATCCATAAATTCGATATAATCTATATAACTGTCTAAACACTATAATACATTAAATCGTCAAATATGCCAGGTCTTATTATTCCAACTATTATTGATAAAAATAAATCAAAAAAAGTTATTAATAATCATCCTGGATATGATATGAAATATGTAGAGTCCTATATCTACAGATATTGGGGTATTAATGATTATCACAATACTTTGATGAGCTTTTTGAAACTGAAAGACAATATGATACTTTCTCAGTTATTCAACCACATGAAACATTGAAGCAATGGGTTATTAGGGTCAGAGTTCCTTTACAAGAGCTGGTCTCTGAAAAGAAAAGAAGCATATATCATGTACATTGTTTATTTGGTACATTTTGAAATTCTAAGCTAGTTAATCATGACTACTATAGATCTAGAATTCACAAAAGTCATATAGCAGTTTGTCTTGATTGTTGGCAATTGATTCAAGTCAATGATGTAAAGCCAAAAAAGGTATATGCATCTGCTATATATTAATATATTGAAATTGAACCACATCAGAAAATTTTTGAGGCAAATAAATCCGAATATATTTGAACTGAATATATCCAGATATATTTGACCACCCATGCATTTATTCACATTAAATATTTGAATTTATCCAGATAAATATGTAAATATATTTGCATATATTTGTTTATTCAAATTTATCTAGATATATTTTTCAAATATATTCACATATATTCATGTATTCTAATTTATCCAGATACATTTTTTGAATATATTCACATATATCCGTGTGATTTGAATTTATTCAGATACATATATTTTCAAATATATTTGCATATATCTATTCAAATTTATTGAGATTATACTTGCACGCAAAATTATTTTGAAACCCGAAACCCGAAATATAAATATCCCAAAATTGATTCCAAAATACTATTTCAAAATTTTGATATTTCAAAATTAAAATGGGAGTCAAAATTAAAATAAAAGTTGAAATTAAAATAAAAATCAAAATTAAAAATGGAAGTCGAAATTAAAAATAAAAATCGAAATTAAAATGGGAGGTCAAAATTAAAAATAAAAGTCGAAATTAAAATAAAAGTTAAAATTAAAATTAAAATTAAAATTATTAGAAAAAATTTTTGAAATATATATTTTCAAAAGTTATATAAATATTTATTTTTTTTAAAAAAAATAATATTAATACATACTATAAGTTTACAATCACAATTTCAAAGCAAGGATAAGTACCTATATTATTTCACAAGCCTAAAAGCATAATTCTGAAGAAAATTATTTAGGCATGGATCTTCAGTGATGAAATACCACAGGTGCCCAAAAAGAAGCCGATATAGTGAAACATTT